TTTTGCTTTTCTTATTTAAGTAAATCTATACTTACGAGACGTAAGTATAGTTAATCTAAGTTAAAGCAAACTACGCTTCTTCATACACGTGCGCTAACGTGTAAGACGAAGTAGTGGCCACACAGCGAGCCCATGACATCTTCCGTCCGAGTGTAGCCTCTCCGTCTAACGCCATTGAACAAACTAGCATCACGCGCATGTCGTCCCTCTTAGGCCACGTGCCGACAGGGTCTCGCACGCCTAGCGCTATCTACGAAGCGGCGCATCGCTCTGGCGACCGACTCGTCAGTCCGTGTGGGCTACCCCAAACGTACCAACTTCGGGAATTGGAACTCCCGGCGGTTCGGCTGCGGTGGGTCCAGTCATTGGTGCCAAAACTGTTCCTAGCGGGACGCTTGCCCACCCTGACTCGGAATAACCTCTTATTTTTTTGGAATCAACTTCATCACAGCAGCGAACCCTTCATTGCGTGAGGCAAACGTCTTGCGAACCCAAGATAGTTCTCTCTCTTTTTATGTTTCTTGTATTGCGCTTGCCATAGTCGCTCTCATATAATTATGAATACCCTTCCCGGACTATCCCCGTGTTGCAATTCGAACGGCTGATCTAGGTTCGAGCATAGACTGTAACATACTGATTTAACCTATCCAAGCGTTGCTATATTCTCCAGAATATCAGCACTTATTGTGCTGCTCGCGATTCTCGATAACCCACCAACTGCGTCTAATCATGGTGCATCAACAAAAGAACGTCAACATCCTTTTTATAGTATTCTTGTCTTTCATCCGTATTATCGTCTGGTTCCCCACCTGACTCGCTGTCAATGCTGTTCCTCGTTCTCACTAGCGGTCTCCATCACGTTGTTATATCCACCATCTCCCCATCCTTACATAATGCCAATATCTAAATATTCACTATGTACACGGTATAATTAACCTAGTGTATATATATAGATAACAAACCTAAGGGAATCGCAGTGATTCGTACTGAACAGCGGGGCTCTTCTGCTTCAGCAGCCCCATCACCAACGAAAAAAAACATCTCATTCAGATTAAGCGTGATCTCGCCCACATCCTCTACCTCGCCGCGGTCGTTTGCGTCCTCCACATTACTATGCTGACTCGCGACCTATCGCTGGAAGCCTACTCACCCCTCCCCCTTCTTCGGCTCGTGTCTTCTTAAGCGAAGCACGCGAGAATAAATACATTCTAAACCGTGCAATACAAGAA